AGACTAAATCTCAAAATGTTGATATTCAGACGAAATGACAAAATGAAAAACGGTGTAACCATTCATCAAGAGTTGAGATGAGGTTTTCTGCCATCTATAGTTAAGAGAAAAAAATTAAGGTGGAGGGGCATCTTACCCCGTCTTACCGTAGTTATTTTCAACAATACGCTGACAACACAAATGTTGTAGAATCTTGCAAAATGCTGACATTCACAGACTCAAGATTTGAATGTTGATTAGGAAATGAATGCATGATATATTGGACAAATTATTAGAATGATTATAATCAAATTCTGTAATTAATTGATTTTTCTTTGTCAGGTATTTGTTTTTAACTGCTGTTATTTATAGTATTCTTGCTCTTGTAAGTATCTCTGCTCTTCACAATAACACCAGTGTGCCTTACACGAAAGAGTGTTTGTATGATATTATTCCCCAGCGTTCATGCTATACTGCACATATTACATTGTATAGCACACAGTGTGTACATGTAGGTGTGTCCCTCCTCCAGTCTCTGGCGTTTTATGATAAAACACACCAGCTTGACTGTTCTGTGATAACCATACACACAAACTATCACCCGCTGCTTTAAGGGCGTTCACCCAATTTTCATTTTGAAAATTACAGTGCAGTGTTGGAAACTCCTAACTGAATTTTCCTCATATTATCTTAGCCTTAATAAGCATGTATGCACCATTATTACATGTACTTTAACACTTTGGTATAATGAAATGTTGGTGTCAATGCCCTAGCTGTGTTTTGTCTTGTTATATTGACTCTGAGCCTTCCTGACATGAATTTAATCACCATACTTTATATTTTTGTTTAGTGCACAATATTTATAGTACACTACACACCTGACTCTTCTGAAATGCCACTGATTGCTGGTAATAAATACCATTCTGTTACTTGCAATTAGTTAAGAAATCTTCATTATTGATGGCTCCATATAAACAGTTTCACCTCCATTTTGTTAATGCATGAAGTGTAAACTGAGATAAAAGCAAATATCCTGAAAGAACACAGCACCAAAGAGAAACGCCCTCTACTGCTGGCAGAAATGCTTACAACCTGAAGGATTTCTACAAAAGAACTCACTGCTGCACTAAAACGTCTAATATGATTCATAATTCATGATAACTTATGAAATGTATTAGGTCTATAAATTTACTAGCCCAAAGCAGACGGACTTCACGAGAGTTAAATGTTAGGTAGGCATATGTGACAACATATCAAAAACAATCTGCAAATATTTTCAGAAACTATTTGATTGATTTTTTACATTACGTGGACCACAATGATCAATTATCTTTGAGCTAGTTAAATCAACAGTTTCAGTACTCTAAGAAAAACGTTTTTTTTCCCCCAAATTAAGTAATTTTACCAGTTACTTACCAATTACCCTACCAATATTTGTGTCTTTGTATCCACTAAAAGTCATTCTATAACTTTATCTTTGAAATCCTACTCAATAAATGTAAGTTTTAGGTATCAGAATAAGACTAGGTGTGCCTCATATCTCTTGAATAAACTGATTATTCTGTCAGGAAAACTGACCATTAAATAAAATGAAAAAAAAGTACTCTTCTCTTCACTTCATCTTCTTTATTATTCTATTTCAGAGTTCAGAGTTTTCTGGACTAAAGCTTCATACCATAACTTTTGAACTTTGAGCTATGGCAATCATTTACGTCCAAAAAAACTAGAGTGATAAAGGAGACGAGTGAAGAGCTTCAAAAACAATTAAACCATTTTCTGCAATAGAGCATTAAGATGCTCGTGTGGATCGGACAGATGAGATGGTAATGGGCATCAGAGGCCAAAGCATTAGAGGATGATGCACTCTTTACGGTTTCTGGTGATCTTTTCAGGCTTTCCATCTTTAGCCTTAACAATGGCCTCCATAATCTACAGATTAGACAAAGAAAAAGGATAATGAAAATTAAAATAAGTAAACAACACACAACACTACTAGGTACAATTTTAGACGGACTTGACTGGATTTGTTTTTCATTATATTAAAAATATTTTTTATATCTTAATCTTTTCTAAAGGCTTTGATTAAATGCTTGAATTTAGTCTGACAATGCAAACTTGTGCCAAACTCTAGATTTTCGGACAGTACTTTTGTTTAAAGGGATGTGTTGGAGTGAATAGTGAAGGAAAAGTAGTCAACAATGTCCATCGTATAAGAAACTGTTCAACGCTGTTTAAACAGCATCCCAGATTGCACCTCATGAGGTTATTGAGTGAATATGTCCAGAGTGCGCAGAGATGAAATCTACTATTCAATTGTGTCACATTTTTGGCACTAGTCTCATAATTCCATTTGTGTTGTGCTATTTCAAAACGTTGTTTTACAGAAACAAACTTACACTATATGTGACAAAGCATGATCCCACATTTATAAGTTTTTGTATATCAAGCAAAATTCAAAAGCGTTGGCTTTAAAAAGTATTCTTGATCCTAGGCTGCTGCATGCTATTTAACCCAAAAGGACACAAGTCTAAAACTAGGAAGCAATATACTTTACAAAGTATTTAGCCACACAATATACACAAACACGCAAAAAATGTAATATTCCCTGATGCTTACATCCTCTTCATAAGGCAAACCTCCTGTTTCTAATTTTGAGAAGACCAGATGTTCATTGATCTGTACTTCAAAACTTCCTACAGGAAAGAGGAAGGTGACACTGTCACTGTCAATCCCACAGGCGTTTATTTAGTTCGTGAGGAATTTATGTAAAGCATGCCATTTGTGGATTATTGTGTCTATATGAGGACAGTCAGATATGTACTCAACCTCTCCGGCCCACGAAACCTGACACCTCAGCATCAGGAACCTTGGCGCAGATGCCCCGCTTCAGCTCCTGGAAGCGCGGCTCGTAGCCTCATCTGCCGCTGGTGGGTCACAGAAGACTGGTTACTTCAGTTTGAAATGTGCTCAGTAATTTCTGCATACATAACCGGCTTTTTTTTCAGAAGCTGCCATGCAAAACAGCTTAAACTGGTTTTTCCATATCGCACGATAACAACACTAGCGATGTCGCATTCACGAACGGAATGTTCTTTTGGGCCCTTTTTTTCTTCATAGAATTGGTTAAACCGGTTCACAAACTAATTTACGTTCCGCGCGGTTCTTCAGTCAACAACTCCCTGACTCCTTGTATGATGTAAATACACTTTAACTATTTTATAACGTAAATTGAAATGATAACCGTTTTCTTGAATCATATCTGCGACAAACTTATACTTGGACACATGAAATACAACAAACACCATTATCAATAAAAGAAAAATGATAATATATATGACTACATACGAGTTTACTTGAAAAAATTAGAGCATGTAAATATGCGACGCTTTGATGTCAGGGACCACACGATGAGGTAAACAATCACTAGATCGGCGTTTGAACCGGCTCTTTGTCCAAACTGTTCAAAAGAACCGATTCGCAGTAAATATTCGTAATCGCCAGACTCGTTCCGAGTATGCCGCCTAAATACACTTCATTTATGGGCATCACAGCTCTTCGAAGTGCGTGTTTGATGAACAAATATGTCATATGCAGCGCCCTAGGTTTTTTGAAACATTGCCGAAACATTTAAAAACATCACTTAATTTTTTAAAGAATTTATAATGAGGAATAACAGTAATTTAAAGACAGCTAGATGCACTTGAATACTTAGTAATGAAACTTACCAGTATTCGAGTTTTATCTTCACCACCATGATTCTCGTCTTTAGATTCTGACCTGTGAAGGTTAATGGTTACCTGGTTGTTCGAGGAGACAGAAAACAACACATCCACCGAGACAGCTGCTGCTCACCTCCATCTGTATGACAGGCCTACAGAGTTTTAAAGGCCAGTAGCTGCTCATCACTGTCAATGATCCTCTTTAACAGTTCACTGTTGTATCAAAATAACCTAAATGTCAACAGCTGCATAAAATAATTATTTTTAGGGTACACTTGCCCTCTTCAGCAATAGTCAATTCACCTTTATTTATATAACTATAGATCGTGTCAAAGCAGCTTTACAGTAAATAGGAAAATAGTGTCAATAATGCAAATAGCAAACACTTATTTTTCAGTTAAAGGCAGTTCATCATTGAAATAAGAGATGTCATCATCCAGCTCAGTTCTTCAGTTCAAATATATCTGTGCAATTAAGTCGACGACATCGCTGGAAATTAATACTGGGGGAAAAAAATGATCGCAAACCTCACTAAGCTAGTTTGACAGGCCAGCATTCTGATGGTTGGCAGCTAAAATGTCAGGCCAAAATACAGTAAACCATTTAAGGTTTAAGCTGTTTTCAGCAGTATGTAGCACTGCATGTAAAAAAAGTGTTACAAGGTTTACATACATATATAATATATTTTAATATGTATTTTAAAATACAAATATTGTTTTAAATTAGGACAAGCTGACAAAAAAGCTTACTGTAACATAACACACTGAACATAGGCCTATAATCAAACCAGAATTCACAGAAATTGAACAGTCCATGTATTTTATTTAATGTCAACAAATTAAAGAATCAGTTGGACCAAGTTAAGCAGCTAAACATCACTGTCCTCACAACCTCATGAAGAAACTTCCAGCCCACTGCACTCTATTGAATTAGGTTTGATCTACCGCCTTAATTAAAAAGACAGAAAAAGACTACTAATTGCTGTATGTAATTTCCTATTTCCTTAACATTACTTCTACTGTCAAATCAAACATTTGTTATATGACACACATACCAAAGCCAGTGTGCCTCTGAGAGAAACAGTTTTTGTGTAACAGTGTTCAGTTTGACTACACACAAACAGAATACAGATGAAGGCAGAACACATGCAAACTAATTGCTGTATGTAATTTCCTATTTCCTTAACATTACTTCTACTGTCAAATCAAACATTTGTTATATGACACACATACCAAAGCCAGTGTGCCTGGCATAATGTTATGTAAAAAGCAGATTTAAACACAATTGGAGGACAAAACCAGATGATAGTTCATTATTTTATTAACCATATATATGAGTGATGTTTCATAAACAGGATCATCAGTAGTTTCTAAAAAAACAACAACATGCGGCAGTGTCTGCAAGTCATATAAATGCCCTTAAATCAGCTATTTGGTTTGATTTAATGATGAAAAAATGTATAATACTACAACACTAATAATAATTTAAACTACTGCGCAAAATGCTTGCAAGAGGCAAAACACCTGAGCTTTGACACCAAGCGAAGTTGGTCTAGAATGTGTTCTACAGTACTTCAAACAAGCATTTCAAGTACTCAAATACAACAATATTAAATTCATTTATTTGAGATCTCTTCATGCTGATATGGGGTGGTGGACATGAAGGGACACTTGCAAAATGACAATTTATCTACTCAGACACACCCAAAAATAATGACCCAAGCTTTAGGCATTCCCTTCTTACAGCAAACGTTTTAGTACATTAGTATATTCTCTTCAAATCCCCCAAAACAAATAATCAGCAGACGAAAAGTGACCCAATTAGGCAATGTGGCTTCAACAAAAAAAAAAGACCTTAACCCTTCCATTGGCCTCCTCCTTAGCATCCCCGCATCTTGCTCCTCCTGCTTAAAGGATGCGTGGACTGCAGGCCTCATACCGTAACTGCTCACTTTAGAGTTACGATAATCATTTACGTCCAGCAACCAGACCGGAGGAGTGAAGAGGAGGGGACGTTTAAGGATCCTACATCAATACACTCTTTCTCTAGATCTTTAAGTTATGTAAACAGAACCGTTCAAAATCTTGACCTTTTAGACATTTTTAAAGCCAAAAGTGAAGGGTCAAGTGGTGAAACTTTAGAGGATGACACAAGGAGGCCGGCTCTTGGTGATCTTCTCCACCGGCTGGCCATCATAAGCTCTTTGGATAGCATCCATAATCTTGTGGATGGGATAAAAGAGAGATGCACACATACACGTGAAAAATCATCAACTTTTTATAGGTGAAAATGTTATACAGCGTGAGATGTTTACTCACATCATCCTCATAAGGGAAGCCACTGGTTTCCAGCTTTGAGAAAATCAGTTGTCCGTTGATCTCGATCTCAAAGCTCCCTGGAAAAGAGAGTCGGAAGAGCTGATGATGTTTGCTCACATTCATATTTTTGCATAAGATGTAAATCACTGCATGGCTATAAATGTGCAAGGTACCTTGGCGGCCGACGAAGCCACTCACGTCCGCATCAGTGAACTCAGCAGTGACGACCTGCTTGAGCTCCTGAAAGCGGGGCTCGTACCCTCATCCGCCGCTGCAACATAACAGTGAACGTAAGCTCACAGTACTTATGCCATCTAACAAACGTTTGGATCCAGGCAAACAGACAATGGGTGGTAACTAGTGTATGAGTTTATGTCTGACAATAAACCTGAAGACTAGAACTATGGAAGCTCGTTTCTGCCACAGAATTAAAAAAAAAAAGTAATTACGTAATTTTATCTCACAATTTGGTCTTTGTTTCTTGCATTTCTGAGGAAAACTAAGAAATTCAGAAAAAGTCAGTTGCAGTTCTGACTTTTTCCTCTGAATTTTAGGTTTACATTTCACATTACTGTTTTTTTTTTACTCCACTATAGAATAAACAATAAATAAGGAAATTACGACTTTTTTTCCCCTTCGTTTATATCACCAAATTCTGAATTTAGATCCTGCAATTTTAGACTTTCTCAGAACTGAGAGGGGGAAAAAAAAGTCGGTTACCTTTTTTATTCTAAGATAGAAAGGGGCTTCCATATAGAACACTGTAATCTTTATGAGAGTAAAAACTCCATACTAAAAGACTCTGAATACCATAACTATCACTGTGTTCATTACTGGAGTCAGTAATCTAGCTCATACCATTGCACATAACTTTCCTCACAGTTCAGTTGCTGTGTGCATCATATCTCTTTGCAATAAGCCCTAAACATATAAAAGACAAAGAACTTATTTTTTTATTTTTTACATTCAAAATGTATTTATTTTTTTTTAAATATATGGCATTTCTAATCTGTTAAACGTTAAAGAAGCTAATGTTTGTCAAAATTAATAAGTTGTTTAGAATGTTACTATAAAGTAAATCTAGTATTTTAAGGGGTTCCTGGGTTGCTTGAGAGTTTGGATGGGGGTCTTTTACTCTGTATAAATTGAAAATCCCTTTCCTGAGATTTAGGAGTTAGTCTTCCCGCTAAAATCCCATAGTAAGTTAGATGGATCATCTTAAATCTCGGAGGTAACGTACCAGCTCCGTTATTTAAACCACTTTCAAACCCGTTTAAGAGAAACGCCGAGAATTTTGGAGAACAGCACGTGTTAAAACATGATGTATGATAAACTAGTACATGACATTTATTCATGAATACATAAAGGAAACGAGATAATGAAGAGGGTTATGTTAATAACAAAGACAGCAGGCAATCTGCATGAGCTGTTTAATCTAACGTTACCACATTCGTGAAGACATTTTACCCGAATAGAGGAAAACGTTTGTAAATCACATACTATTTTAAATAATTTACAGATTTACCTATTGTAAAATCACTCACCAGTATTCAACTTTTATTTGCACACCCATATCTGCCCAGCTGCGTCACTGCGTGCTTTACGCTATTGTGCTTCCGCGTCTCTGACTGATTTTATATCAAACTAAACCTCTAGCGCCCTCTATCAGCTGGAAGAGGCATTTTTAAGACAAAAGGGCAGCTCAACAGCCTCAGAAACTTTTCGTTGAAAAGCCACACGATGGCAGCAGCTATTAACCCATTTCATCCCAAATTCTTCAGTGAGTGAGCCCATGTATTTTACCACTTGGATATAAAAATGACATATAACATATTAAACAGTTTAAAAAAGTAACTTAAATTGTTTTATTCCTGGTTTCTCTACTATTAATTAGGGTTTACCCTTAAAATAAAGGAACTTCTAAAATAAAGAACCTTTAACCTCTGAAGAACTTTTCTGTTTCACAAAAGGTTCTTTGTTGGCGAATGAAGGTTCTTCAGATTATAAAAAGGTAAGAAAGAGACGGTTCTTTAAAGAACCTTTGACTGAATGGTTCTTTGTGGAACCAAAAATGGTTATTCTATGGCATCACTGATGTCAAGAACCTTTTAAGCACCTTTATTTTTAAGAGTGTAGTTGCATGTAATTATGCATAATTTACTGTTATAACTAAGTACATAACGTGTAACAAAGACACTGTAAAATTAAGTGCTACCCGATTTTATAATGTTGATCAATCAGTTACTTACAATTAATTATTATTTACTGGTGAGATTAAACGAGTTAACTAACTTTATTAGTGATATTTACGTTACAGCAATTTTTAAACGTCTGTAAGTCTATAACTGTCAGATTGCTAGATTTATTATTGTAGAATACTTGTCTCATTCATTGAATTCAGACAAGACAGCTCATCTTAAAATTGAAACACACTCTAGACAGCATACTCATTTAAGCAACGGCCCTGCTTATAACACATAAAAAAATGATGTAGGACATCCAAAACGTCTTTGATGGGGCAAAGACATCAAGAGAATGCACGAGATCTCAAACATGCATCAATCATTTGCTCCATCACTGCCTGTGTAAAGAGAAAGAAAGAAAGAAAAATGAGGCTAAAGCTTTTGTTAAATTGGGCTCGATTGTTGTTAAGATTGAACACGGCTCGCTTCTACCGATGACTCACTCCTGAAGTCATTTTCACAGAATAGTGCACTGATTTGCTGTGTCATTTGTCATTAAGGGCCAGGTGGGTTTCAAATGAGGCACGGTGATTTGGAGCCGCATTACACCATTATGGGCTCATTATGATGATGCCATACAGGACTCACGACTGACACCACGCCGCAATGGTTTTGACAGGCCAAGTGAAAAGTTTGAGAGGGAGAGAAGAGGCACACATGTGTCATATTTTGAGCTTTATTTTTTTTTCTAGCTTCCAATGTTTCTCCTGCATTTGATTAAAAAAATGACATATAATGGCCAGGTATGTCCAAATAACAAGAGATGATATTGCAAATATATGAGAAATAAAGATGGAAGAACAAAATTTACACTCTCAGAAAAGAAGGGCAAAAATGAGGGTACAACAGCTTATCACTGGGCCATTACCGTTAAAGGGACATCTTTGTATCCTATTTACTCATAAAAGGGTCATAGTAGTATGATAAGCAGACATATTTGTACGGCAAAGAAAGGGTTCCCAAACCTTTTTGTCAGCTGAACCCCTTAGATGTAAAATATTACATTTCAATTATTTACCATCACATTCGTATGTTCATAGTCATCTGATGTTGGTCACATGACATGCAAATAGATAAAATATTGAATCTTTTTTTAGTTTGTTTATTTTGATTGTTTTAATTTGAAAATTATGTAGAACTGCATTTATTATATTACTGTTTAGACTCTGAAAATAAAGATATAAACATATTTCGGGTATAAATTACAATTATTATTATAAACATATTTCGGGTGTAAATTACAATTGTCCATAAAATAAAAATGAATCTTTGATAATTACAGGTCTAATAATTACATTTAAATTAATCACAAATTCATAAATTCTTCACTTTCTTTACTTTTTTTTTTTCATACATACAGAGATCAGGACATACATAATTTCTCAGAAAGAAAGAAAAGAAATAAATAAATGAAAACACATACATACACCTTAATGTTACTATGGAAAGTATGTATATACAGAATATGTATGCCCTCAATCTTGAAAACAAATTTCTCAAATGTTACATAGGCATTATATTTTCTTCCTCTTAACAACAACTAATACAAAAGAACATGGGGAGCTATTGCTTACAACTCATACAAAAAGATACCTTAACAGTTACAATTCAAGAAAAATCTGGGCGTACCGGTTTAATATAATCTATCCATTTATTCCAAATTAGAAAAAAAAATCTTCTTTACTTTCAAATGTTCATCTTTTATTTTGGCAGAATACTGTGAATTACTATAAACGTCTGTCTATAGAAATGTTGAAAGCTGTGAATGCGTAAATAAAGTGAACCTAGCAGCCTTTGATTTAATAATCCCACTGGGTTATATTGCAATTTTAGTTTGATTAATTGCCCAGCCACATTCATTTTAAATTTACATTCCATTTAATTATGAGCTTTTCATAAATTCTGGAACCCCACGAAGTTCCTTTACCCCCCCCCATTTGAGAAACATTGCTCTAAGGTAGTAATATCTGCATCTTTTAAGGGGAAATAAGGTACAGAGTAGTGCCTTTAAGGGTACTGCCACAGTGATTAACTGTTTAATTTCTGCACATATTTTTTTCAGTCACAAATTCAGAAATTAAAATTGCCATTACAAGATAAACACTTGCATAACAATATACCATGATTAGTGTTAAGGAGACACCAAGAACAGATAATATCTCCTATATTCTTAATTTATTTCACATTGTAAAATCAGTTTTGCATCTCTAGTGGCTCATTACTCGATTTCTCTCAGCTTGAGGCCCCTGAAGTCAGATTCTCTATAGGCCCGGGCCATAATCTTTCCCTGCATGAATGTGTGAAGACTTATAAAGGTGCATGAGATGGGAGATGGACAATCAGTCCTCAACTCCCAGCAGCTTCCCTTCTCTCCTCTCTTCTCTCACATTCATTCACACTAGCCCTCACGGCTCATCACAGCAGATATTCTCTCACTCTCTTTCAATCTCTCCATCCAGCAGAGAAGACGGGAAGATGATTCCAGCCCGCATCTATCTCCATTAGTGTAATGGCGTAAAGCAGCTTAGACAGCTACACCCCTCTGCAGCCTACCCTTCCGTCAGGATCACATTTCTCTCACCACTGTTTTTCCAGGTGGAGCGAGAGAAGGAGGGAGAGAAGGAGGGAGAGAAGGAGGGATGATTTAGACCCTGGCGAAAAAGAGCCATCCATCCTCAGCTTCCTGTCTGTGTGCCACAACCCACAGGGGAGGCCCGTCTCAAAGGCCAGCTTCACTTGGAACTACTGAATTAGCGTGTTTGCGTCTCCTGTCCTATTTATGTACCTCTAAACCTGCCGCTTTGGCCTCTAGAGGGGCTTCACAAATGTAGACCCTTACTTTTCCCACCATCAGGAACCCTCTCTGCACATAAGCCACCTGCAGCCTGCATTTTCCCAGCATGCTTTCCAACACCCATATATCTCACCCCGCTAAACCTATCTAAAACTATGGGACCTGTTTTAGCATGTCTGGTTCTCAGGGGTCCCCCTTCCTGATCCCCAACAGGACAACCCTTGGGAACCAGAACAGGACGTGACAGGTCAAAGTCAGGCTGTCAGGGCAAAGGTCAGGAAGCAATTATGGGTGGTTAGAGGTGGTGGGATGGCAGAGACTAGACCGGCTTTGAGTTTTTGAGTGACACGGCATGAAGGCTGGATCACTGTTAAGGCGCTCCGTAATCCCGTCAGCAGTGTTTCAATTAAGCCTCAGCACTTTGAGCTCCAGTCTGTGATTTATAAAATCAGTGAGTTTGTTCAATTACATGTTACATTGGTGATTCAGAAGGGCAAATGTCAAATTTGAATAATGCTAGTTTAATTTTAGTGTTCCCATGTGAATTGAATGCCAACAGTTTTAGAGAAGCACTGTTTTTTCTCTCATTTTGATCTGATAATTGTGCTCTTTATTTATTGTAGAAATGGAAAAACCCCCTCCAGGGGGAAATGTTAATGTCCTTCTCATTACAATATGTCCTGTTTTCTTAATTCATATGACAATGATTATGAAATAGTTCAGATTAAATAAAAACAGGCCAGCATGTGTGCATTTAAAATGACAGGGCAGCATGAAAACTCAGTTCTGTGAGTTCAGTGACTAACTGTAACCAGGCATCATACGGGAATAATGTGGAAAACTCTTTGAACTAAGTTAACTGACTTTTTAATCATGTCCATTAATAGAGACAAAGTATTTAGAAGAATCAATGTATTAGTGCCACACGCTTTTTAAAGCTGAAGCCTGCCATCTTGCAGCACAAAATAACAAAAATACTAGTTTTAATCATTCCTCTGTCTTCTATTTTTTGGACACACATGTACTCACACCATTGGCTGAGCCAGCATTGTTATGTCTGGTTCAATCAGGTTGCTCAAACAAACAGCTTTCACTGGATGCTTTGTTTACAACATAATCCTCCTTATTCTGTGGCTGTGTTGAGATCATGCTCTTTATTGATGGCTGTTGTATACCTGAAGCACAGGGAAGTCAGCAAATTTAATTTCCTTCAGTACAGTATAAGAGTAATATATACTCTACGTGTCAAATGTTTGGTCAGGAAGATTTTTAATGTTTTTGAAAGAAGTATCTTATGTTCACCAGGGGCAAGACTGCATTTATTTTTTTGTAATTTAAAATTTATTCCTGTGATGGTAAAGCTGAATTTTCAGCATCATTACTCCAGTCTTCAGTGTCACATGATCCTTCAGAAATCATTCTAATATGCTGATTTGGTGCTCTAGAAACAGTTGTGCTGCTTAATATTTTTTGTGGAAACAGTGATACATTTTTTCCCCCAGGATTCTTTGATTAATAAAAATTTCAAAATTTCAGCATTTATTTAAAAAATAGATTTTCTTTTGTAACAATGTAAAAGCCTTTTTTCAAATCTTTGACTCC